TAGCATAATTGTTTTGTTATCTTGTTTGGGATTAAAAACATAGCCAGAGCGTTAACAAAGACTAAGTACTCCTTAATAATGAAAGCCCAAATTTTGGAGTAAGGAGAGTAAGTTAACAGGATCCGGCTTTAGCATACTTTAGAGCTTGAATTCAATATATGATTAAATATATCTAGAAAGGTTTGTAGAGGTCAGACCCCAGAACTCTTCTTTTGGTACTACTTGTGTTGGGTTAAGCAAAATTTAAAGTCACGTAATCTGTATGCTCACACTTCATATTTGGCAATTAAATCACTATAATTAGAAGTTTTAAATTTTCAATTTTTGAATTTTTGAATTTTTCAATTTATGGGGTTTTCAATTTTCAAGTTTTCGAATTTTCAGATTTTTTAATTTTAAATTTTCGAATTTTTCAATTTTTACAAAAATTGCACTTTTGGCCCAAATGGAACCCCGTATTTTTGGAAGAGAATGATGTAAGTAGATAGGCAGAAAAGCCTATTTATGTGAAGGACCAAGTTAATAATAGCCAAACCCAATGTACAGAACAGGCTATAGTACCCTGCACAACTATAAGAACTAAGTATATAGCGAGCATCTCTATAAAAAGAACACTAAATATCTCAGATTCCAATTCTTTCAATCCTTTTGAGATCCAAATTCATGATAATTTTCTCACACTATCTACTTCACAACTCTCGCTTCCATCCATGTTTTTAAATACTCTACACCCAATACCAACAACCTATTCTAACTCAATCTCTGAAGACTCTGATAATGACAATATTTCTTCAACTACATGTTCAATCTTAGACAAACCTTCTACCTCTCTCCCTTTTAATCTACTTGAAATATATAACACTTCAACAAATTCCTTCTTTACTATAAACTACAGCTCCTCTCTTCTCCACAAACACTAGCATCATTTCTTTCATATATTCAAACTATCTACTCATACTTATTCTCAGAATACTTTATTAAAATCTCTATCAAACAAGGTGGAAATAACAATAACAATAATGATGCTCATATATACCTACCAAATGAAACTATTCTTCTTCTAAACCACTTTTTCTCTTCATTCAGTAATCTCTTAACATACTCTAACACTTTATTCAAATCTGATTACACTACATCTATACGAATACCATCTTTCCAAACTTGTGAATCTTCTCTAAATACTTTTTCTAATCAATTCACAACTCCTGAACCAGTACCCAAATACATTTCTCTCTCTATTAATATAGCTTCACTTAATATCAATGGCTTTTCTCAACCCAACAAGAAACTTTCTATAACAGAAATGCTTAATAACAACACCTTTGACATTCTAGGCTTATCTAAGACACATCTCTCAAACAAAGAAAAAAAAATTTTCAATAACCAAATACCAAACTACAATAGTTACTGGAGCAATTACTCATTAGCACACCAAGCCAGTGTTGGAATCTTTATTCATCACAATATAGCAAAACATATAGCATGTACTTATAACTATAATGGCACTATAAAAGATTTAGATCTCCATTTTAAAAACCTAGAAATTCGTCTTCTACAAATTTATATACTAACTCAAGAGAAGAAACAACTCCGCAAAGATGTACAAGAATAAATTATCCCACTTTTCCAAAATTCTAACTACAAACAAATTATAATGGGTGACTTTAACAGCGTTCCAAACCCAATATCTGATTGACTTCCTCCAAAAAAATTCTCAATACCTAAATCACAACTTATCAAATTTCTTTAAAGTCATCAATACAAAGACATATACTGCTTCTTCTTTCCCGAAAATCAAATTTACTTTTCAATGAGCAAACATTAAAAGCAGAATAAACCAAATCTGGACTAATCTGTCAATTACTAATATTGAATATACAGATATCCTTTCTAACACTACTTTAGATTCAAATTATTCCTTGATTATCCTTGAAATATTAATTATTATAAGCAAACCCAAACCACATAAACAATGAAAAAGAAAATATTTCTTTTGAAAAGACTGCTCCAATGAAATAATCCAAAACTATGCTAATCAAACTACACAAAACCTTAAACACATTCTCTCTAAAATCCCTTTAATTACTCATCAAAATTATTTTAACCTCATATGGAACCAAATCTCTAGAGCTTTAATTAAAGCAGCCAGCAAACATATTCCTTTCAAAAAAATCAAAACAATTAAAGAAATTCAAGACTCTCAACCCTTCAAACAATCACCATTATTTTATAGATACAAACAAATTCAATATCTCAAAAACTACTTACATTCAACTAACTTAAATAATCTCCTCAACCAATATCAAACACAATATTCTGAAAACTCTTTGCAAATCAAAACTCCAACCTTTCCTTAACTTAAAAATAAATTTCAACTTACCAAAACTGCTCTCAACCACCAATACCAACAAAATCTCTACAAGGAAATTAAACAAAAAATCAAAGATCGAAACAAATCCTTTATTGAAGCACCCAAATTATTTTATAGGAAAATTCTTGAAAAATTCAATAACATTAATATTGATTGTCTCATTACTAATAACAATCTATTTACAGAACGCAACAAAATTCTAAACAAATTCACAATCACTTTACTGATTACTTTTCTAAAAAACCCTTATATTCAATACCTTTAGAATTTCAACAACTATATCAACTACATCCTGAACTTGAAATATATTACTATGATTTAGTCAAAACCATCTCAGACCAAGAATGAACTGAAACAATCTCTAATCTTTCTAATCAAAAAGCAGCTAGTTCCTTTGAAATTTGCTATGAACATATTAAACATGCCAGCACCTCATCACAAGATATTTTTAAAGCATTTATTAACAAATGTTTTTAACTTAAAAAGATACCAACAGAATGGAAATCCTCTAATATTTTCTTAATTTTTGAGAAATCTACTTGGGATTTATACTAAATTAAGTTTGCCCTATCTCTATTATTGAACCCTTCAAAAAAATCTTTACCAAGATCTTTACTGGCTAACTTGACAAAATAATCTCCTTAAATAACTTGCTTTCAGATCTCAACTTTACAGCATTAAAAAACTGCTCAACACACACCCCAATTCAAATTCTCCATAATACAATTGAATACTACATCTCATATAACAAAAAAGCATGGATACTGTTCCAGACCCTATAAAAAAGTTTTAGTCATTATATTCCGATTACAATTAGATATTTTAGTAATATTCCGATTATATTCCAATTAACGATCTTAAAATTATTGTATAAATTTTTGTTACAAAATGTATTCAGAAAATATTCCAAAAATATTTCATATTCGAATTAGAAAATTCTAATAGTAAAATGTATTCTAAAAAAACTACACGCAATACTCCAATTTTATATTTATATATAAATTAAAGCTTTTAATAATAGAGTATATTCTGGAAAAACTATAGAAATTAATCTGGTTTTATATTTATATTAAAATTAAAAAAATTAATAATAAAAACATTCTAGAAATATTGCAAAAGTAATTTAGTTTTTATATTTATATTAAAATTAGAAAATTTTATCAATAAAAACTTGTTTTATTTAATTTTAAAAACAAATACATTAAGAAAACGCCCTATAGTAGTAGTTTTGCATTTATTATATGTTTTATATAATTTTCTCAGTTTTACTAAGCTTTTTATATAAAATTTTTAGCATAAATTCTTTATATAATAGTTAGTATTTAGTGCTAGAATTAAGGTTAGGAGGGTTTTGAGAGACATAGAACATTTTTACTTAGAATATTACATATTAATTAAGTATTCAGCTTTTAAAATATTATTTGATTTTCTTTATCTATAATAATATATTTGTTTTTTTCGATTTTTAAAAACCTACACAACGATCAATAGTAGTTATATCAATAATACTTTTTTCACCAAAATATGAAATAATTTTATATTATTTCTTGAAATTTCTAAATTTCTTACTCAATGTATATAAGCTAATAAATTTGGTTCATTTTCATATTTATGAGTAAAATAATATAAAACCTGTCTATAAAAATCTTGTTCTTCAAAAACAATAGGTGCTTTTGGATGATATGTATTTTTATTAACAAGAAATTTTGCCTAAAATAATTATAAAATATAATTATAAAATATTTAAATATTTTATAATTTTAAAATAATTACTTACTGCAATTGAATAATTATTTCTTTTTATATCTTCATCATTATTAGAAAATAATAAACTAATAATTGATCCAGATTTTGTTTTTAATTTGCTATATTTGTAAATTTTAGTAGTATTGATCTAAATTTTTAAATATATTATTAAAAATATAATTTTAATTAAATATAATTAATATAAATTATAGAGGTGTGGTGACTTAGTGTATTGGTTTAGTCATCACCCTCTCCAAGTGGCAGGTCTAGAGTTCAATCTCACAGATGACGAATTTTGAAAAATAGCCTATGTTACGGTTTACGGTTGTTGATTATCGGTTGGATCTAGAAATCTGTAATCTTGGTTATACCATCTAGTTATGGGAGCTTTGGCACAATAAATCTGAGGAACCAGAATAACCAAAAACCCATTTGGCAAGTCCTGAGTTTGAAGATAGTAGTGATTTACGATGGTACTACAGGAGGGCTGAATTCAAACCGGGGCCCGAGATCGTTGAACCGAGCGACCAGGTCCTAATAGCGGAGGACGCACCAGAGAAAAAGGACATATGCTCCAAAAGTATGGACCAAGGGGAGGGCGTCCTTCAGGCACCTAAAGCCTGGGCAGACCAACCCTTTCGGGTTGCCGGCTGGAAGTAAGAGAGAGACCGGTAAAGAATCTGGGTAAGAAGATGGTCTAAATGTGGGGTACTGGGGTTGCTAGAAACCAAAACAAGGGCAAGGAGTACGTAATGGGTGTCTAGTTAGGAAGGTTGGTGCTTGAGAAACGTCTATAAAACGGCAGCATCCCAAAAGGTGGCGTAAGATACAAATACGGAATGGCAGGTCAATATATACTAATTAGGAAGAAGTTATAGGAACAAGTACATGAATACATGTGTAGGACATGTACCGCTGTGTTAGGTTTACCTCGAGGATAGTTAAGTGTACTAAGGTAGAGTGCAAAATCCACATTGAGTGATACCAAAATCTAGCGTATGAATAGTGGGAAACCCATTGGGTTAGAGGGCTGATAGAGGTAGTTAGAACCAGATGGTTTAAATGGGTACCCCCCTAGTCGGGATGCAGATACGGCAGATAGTGTAGAACCTTCGGGCGGACTACTTAAATAGGCACTCAAAAGGTGCATGTGTGGCTTGATGTACC